CGTCTGTCTGTCTGACAATGAATCTGTTTATCTCTCTCTCTCTCTCTCTCTCTCTCTCTCTCTCTCACACGCACACATACACACATACACACTGTCTGTCTGTCTCTATCCATCCCTCTCTCTCTTTACAGATCTATCTATCCCCTCACCCCCCATCCCCTCACCCTTCTTTCTCTATTTTTCTTCCACTCAACAATAAATGCCACGACAAGTTTGGAACAATTGTTCTTTCTACACTATACATGTCGCTGGAAATATTCAAGAAAATACCATTTCAACAACATTTACATATCCCAACCGACAGCAAAATACTGTCTTCTTTTTAAAAAGAAATAATAAGGAAAAAGAAAACCAAGCAAACAAAAACCCTTAACTTATTTCAGAGAAGTTCTATAAGAACACTTCAAGTCGCAGGCTCAGTTGGTAACTGAAATGTTTCGTATTGATCTATTTTTTCCATACCAGCTGTTCTGGGCTTCCCTACAGACAATGATCCCCGAGGCTTGGTTAGATTATGTCGCCGACTACAATACATTTTCTTGAATTGCAGTAATTTGTTTTTTAGAAAACATCCGGTTTCAGGTTATTTTTTAGGCTTTATTGTCCTTTGTGCCGCTGTAGAAAGAATGGTTTCTTACCACAGACCATATTCAGGTTGATTTAAACTCTTTGTTTGTTTGTTTTTGTAAAGTGTTTTACGGCGCTCGCAACTGCATAAGGTCATATGAGCGCGCGGGACACATCTACTATTTTCAGTTGTTAGGAAATTTTGAATTTTGCCCCAGGTGGCGGCCGAAGCCTACTCTTATCGATTTTAGACCACCAAGGGATCTTTAACGTGCGCAACTTGCACACGGGCCCTCCGAGATTTTTCGCCCTTGTCCGAGAAGGCTAGGTGTAGATCTTTCCTACCAGAAGATCAGGGGTGTGGTAGAAAGACAACAGTAAGGAGGAGCCAAGGAGTAGCAGTAGAAAGGCTGCAGAAAGAGTCAGGAGCCCAGAGGAAGGGGCAAGGAGGTGAGGGGGTGGGGGCAGAAAGTGGAAATAAAAGCAGACAACAGAACATTGCAAAAGAGCAGGAAAGGAGGTGAAGGGAGACAATTTTAAAGAAGAAAATGTTTTGGTCTCTACCCGGATTCGAACCCGGGACCTTTGAATGAGAGGCCAACACCGTAACCTCTAGGCCACGAGAGCCCCCATTTATACTCTACTGATGTTCCTCATAGATCTATTATTTTGCTTCATGCAAAGTTATTGTTTTTCTTATCTTGCTTACAGTACTTCTTCTCGTTTACAGGGATTTTTTGATTGGATATCACAATAATTGAATTTTAAATAAAGTACCATTGATTTTGTCTCGCCTACTTTACAAAGAACATTGAAACTACAGTTTCATTTCAGATACAGATACATGTGAATGTTTCCATTGTTTTATGGCAAGTTTATAAAGGTAAGTAGGCTAAATAGATGTTATTGAATAGTTCATAGGTCATAGTATTCGTCTATCCAACTGAGCAACTGGCAGACATAATAATATAACACATGTTTATTTGGTTACTTAGTTACCTGATTGGAGAATAGGTATCATCGCAGGCGGTGCAATGTAATAGCTGCTCCTTATCTTAAATCAGCATCTTGAGGAATATTTTTAATCCCCCTTGTAGACACAGCGCAAGTCCTCTCGAAAACGGAATTTCTGTTCTTCTGGCTGGAAGTTGATATGAGAGTAAACTATTCCAGAAAGGAAGAGACAAATCAGTCGAACCCCTGTGAGATTCGAACTGAGCCTTCTGCTTATAATAATTATATAATGGCGCACCACTTCCGTCAGAAAGAATTGATTCAAGCTTCGTGGGAAATGACTAAGAATGGCTCTAAAGATTCTCAGTCCAGGTTGCTATCTTATTTTCTCAGTCGAACGAGGAATTCACAAGATATGGGCAGATGAGTATCAAGAAAGAAAGAAAGGGGGACCATTTGTGTCAAGACAAGGTGGAATCAGCCGTTCATCAATTTTTGAGAAGTGTTGATATAATCTTAATGCGTGTTTATTTGTCTTGTTTTAATGAACAAATACCCATCTATCTTGAAGAGAACGAAATATTTATGATCAAACGAGGTGTGGTCACCTGGTGTTATATCTAAAATCAGTGAGAAAATGACCCCCAGAGTTTGGGAACTTCTAAAGGTTGAGTGTCCCTGGAAACTGCAAATTTACAAAAAAAAATTCAGTAAAATTGTCACTGAAATGTGTTTTTCAATGGGCATTAAAGGTGTTGAGTCACCCAGAAAATGTCCAACGGGCGGAAAAAAGTGTGTTTCCTCATTTGCATTATTTTGATGAGCACCCGATTTCACCACGGTGTTACACGCATTTTATTCATATCCATGGGGAATATCTCATCTTCCGGTTTGGAAGATAGCTGCAAGAGGAATATATTGCTGCCAGTGGAATGCCTCACGAGGAATTGAGATGGTAATGAAGAAAGTGTTTCCTGGTACAACGACTTTAACGCCCAAGCGTGCAACTCTGTCCAAAATAGGTACAACAGAATAAAATATTAATTTGCTTGCAGCTTATTCTCACTTTAATGTTCAAAGTAGCCAACAGTCAATTTGAGATTGCGTATTTAGTACAAGAGTCATCCAGTTCACATCAGTGAATTTGCGGAATCAGCGACACGACTCGATTGCACTTTTGAGAAACGTAGAAAAATATCGTCTCAATAAGTCATTTAGTGCTGCGAAAATTCAAACAGAATCAGATGGCAGACATAACGTCAGAGAAACTGTGAAGACATTGAGCCCTCATTAGTCCAAAAGAACACTAATACATGTATTACTACCAGCCGCCGGACTGCCAGGTCGCTAAGTCAAAGTAAAAAGTCTAACAACTAAAAAGTGCAGTGTGATACATATCTTTTAGGAACGTTGAATAATGAATTTGGCCAACTCACGTGAACTGGTCGTTCGAATTCGGGTGAGTTCTAATTCTTTTTCACACAGAAGAAATTTTTGTGTCCCAATAAACAATAGTTGATATAAATATAAATAATAATACATATTATAAATATATAATATAAAATAAATATTATATATAAAAAAAGATAAATAAATATTAAAGTTGTTATAGTCTTTATCATTACAACTAGGGAAAATATGCAAGACTATGGAGCTTGATATAGAACGCCATCTCATTCTCTCCCCCCCCCCCCCCCCCACACACACACTCAAACGTAGATACTCTGTAAATGGTAACTAACCAAGTATGCATAGTTTACGCTAATGTAATGTAAATGCCACACTTATGAGTTACGATTAATGTTTTGAGTGTGTTTCTACCAAGTCTTTCTTCATTTCTATTTGATTTTTTTCCGATTTACAAGTTCTTTTTCACTTTTACAATCATTTAATTCCACTGAATAAAAGGACGCTGATCACCGAGTCGATTGTTCTGCCCATGGGAATTCCGACGTACGTAAGCCCGTTTATCTGTAAAAACTCACCTAATAATGCTAGTTATAATATTATCTACCGCGTTGGTAAAGGATTCTTTGTAGTTTTTTGTAAATTTTACAGCACTTGCAACACAATAAGGTCATATTAGTGCCGAAGCTTAGAGGTGTTTTAAGTGAGTAACAAATACAAAATGAAGGATGAGAGATCATGACGATAGATGTTTGATAGGCGAATAGTAAATCACACCAGACAACCCACCAACAACCCGAACGGATTTTTTTGGGGCGCTAAAATTGTCTCCTTTCACCTCCTTTCCTGCTCTCTAGCAATGTTCTGTTCTCTGCTTTCATTTCCACTTTCTGCCCCCATCCCCTCACCTCCTTTGCCCCCTTCTCTGGGCTCCTGACTCTATCTGCAGCCTTTCTACTGCTACTCTTTGGCTCCTCCTTACTGCTGTCTTTCTACCACACCCCTGATCCTCTGGTAGGAAAGATCTACACCTAGCCTTCTCGAACAAGGGCGAAAAATCTCGGAGGGCCCGTGTGCAAGTTGCGCACGTTAAAGATCCCTTGGTGGTCTAAAATCGATAAGAGTAAGCTTCGGCCGCCACCCGGGCAAAATTCAAAAATTTCCTACCAACTGGAAATATTAGGTGTGTCCCACGCGCTCATATGACCTATGCAGTTGCGAGCGCCGTAAAACACTTTACAAAAACCAAAAAAAAAAGAGACGGGGCTAAATCATAATGTGCCTGAAGCCTACTTTCTCAGAAAGGTCATGTCCCCCTCCAAGCCCCCCCCCTCCCCCCGAAAGCAACATTTTTTAATGGGACTGGTATTGTAATATCTTCACGACGCCATAGTCTTCTATTTACAACCAAGGTAGGCAATTTGTTTGCTATTGTGTACGTGTGTACTTTAACAAAAGTAGTTAGAAACTTCAAAGTAGTAATACTTAAATGGATGTGAAAAACTGGATCTACCGTTTAAACAGCATACACTCCAATGTATAAAAGTTTATATCTGTAGCACTCTGCTGCCCCTATGTACAGTTTATAATTTTGCTAGCTATCTTTAACATAATGATTGAAATAACTGAGCAATGAAAAGGAGGCTAAGAGAGATTTTGCAATGTCTTTAACAATTAAATAATGTTCTGAAAAATAATTGATGTCTTCGGCCCGATTGTAGTGTTTCTTACTCGCGAGGTTATTTTTATGCTCCCACCCCCTTTTTCTTCTGGCCAACGTTGAGTTGACTTTAAGGCCCATTGAATGCTCCAGCAATCTCAAGAGACCGAACCACAAAAATTGTAGTGGAAGGGAGAGGGGCGGGGGGTGAGGGCGCCGTATTGATAGAACAGTGCACTGCATAATCTCCCCTCGGTCCCGCCTGCGGTATCGGTGTCAACAGCAGAAAGAATATAAACTGAAAACTTGCATTCAGAGACACGATTATGGGTTAATGTCATTGAAGAAATCACCGGTAGTGGGAGGTTTTCGTATGACTCAACAAACATCCCACTAAACACAGATATGCCATTCAGAGGCGGGTCTCACTTAGAGGTATCTGGAGTCCATTAACCTTTTTGTAAGATCGGTCTCTCTAGGGACAGATTGACAAGGTTCAGTGCGGGGACACAAGACAAAATAAGTGCTGAGAAATGTGCCACCTCGACGACAGAAATGTTGCTTTGCTGCTTGAGATGCCTCCTTATAATATATTAACATGACCATTGGTGAAAGACACGAATGTTATTTGAGAAGTTCAAGATTCAAATCCATGACAGTTTGGTAAGGGTGAGGCCCTTCTATAGCTTCCCATCCACCCATCCTCACCCCTTCCTTCGCCCCATTCCCCACCCGCCCGCATTAGTATCTAGTTAAATGTTAACCGGGGCTCTCGTGGCCTAGAGGTTAAGGTGTTGGCCTCTCATTCAAAGGTCCCGGGTTCGATTCCGGGTAGCGACCAAAAAAATTTCTTCTCTAAAATTGTCTCCTTTCACATCCTTTCCTGGTCTCTAACAATGTTCTGTTGTCTGCTTTCATTTCCACTTTCTGCCCCCACCCCCTCACCCCTTTGCCCCCTCCTCTGGGCTCCTGACTCTTTCTTCAGCCTTTCTACTGCTACTCCCTGGCTCCTCCTAACTGCTGTCTTTCTGCCACACCCCTGATCTTCTGGTAGGAAAGATCTACACCTAGCCTTCTCGGACAAGGGCGAAAAATCTCGGAGGGCCCGTGTGCAAGTTGCGCACGTTAAAGATCCCTTGGTGGTCTAAAATCGATAAGAGTAGGCTTCGGCCGCCACCCGGGCAAAATTCAAAATTTCCTACCAACGAAAAAGTATTAGGTGTGTCCCTCGCGCTCATATGACTTAATGCAGTTGCGAGCGCCGTAAAACCCTATACTAAACAAACAAAACAACAAATGTTAACCTTATTAAATGGACAGGGCACAGAGCCTTGGTAATTTAACCAATTTTCTTAATATTAGAAAAGCGTATTTGGAATACGCCGAATACAAACATGAGCAATCACAGGGTTGTAAGAGCTTTATGGCAAGTAGAAGCCTAAGAAGACGTTTGCCAACATGTTCCAGTGCACAAAAATGAAAAAAATAATGCATCCTTTAAAACTCATGCTCGTTTTAGTATCATTTCATTGAATATTTTTCTAAACTTAGAACTCATCATAACGTACATAAAGATATTTACAGACGAGTTAGACGCTTCCATCACATGAACTATGGTCCAGGCTACAACATGGGTGTTGGCATAGCGTCCCCCTTTGTTGAAGTCTTTGACGAGCGCCATGCCAAGCTGCACGAGGTTGCTTGGGATGTAACAAACAATGAAGACTATTGATAAAACTAGGATCATTTTGGTAACTTGCCGAGATTTAGCAGTTCTGGAATCTACCACATCTTTGTTCACTGCTCCGGTACTTTCAGAAGACTGTCCAACCATTGTGCTGAATTTTTTCGTCTGTCTCTTGAGACTGAAAACAAGGACTAAAGAGCAGGCTACAACAAAGATATAGGAAACACTTGTAATCAAAACTCCGACAATAAAGGACACCCCGTCGACCGCCCGCCTTTCTTTGCGGTAAATGAGACCGAAAACTGTCTTGTTTCTCTCAACATCAAATTTCCATCCGAGTAGGTTGCTATAATAAGTTGGGGTGATGCTGCACGCCATTATGAAATAAATAGCTAGCACGGCGCAGCCCACGCGTCTAGGTGTAATCAGAGTCTTGACTTTGAGAGGAAATGTGACGCACAAGCATCGTTCGAAGGTGACGAGTGCAGTGATCCAGCTTGTGGTCCGGGTGAAGATGAGACGTGGCCAGCCAAAAGCCAAGTACTCGACTTCTGGAGCGTTGAAGGGTAGGTCGAGTTCGTAGAAAAGAGGGTTGTAGAAGATACTGATGAGTATAAGAAAGACCAAACCGCACAGGTCCGCTATGGCTAAGCCCAATAGCGAGATATTTACGGTATCTTTGAGTCCCAGACGGAGGAAGATGACGATGTTGATGGCATTTGTGATAACCCCAAACAAGCTGATAATACCACATCCGAAAACCCAGTTGGTGAAGATGAGAATAGTGACGACATGATCTTCAATCAATTTGGGATGCTCTCTGGTCAGGTTGTACATCTTGAGCAGTTCATTTACAACAACAGCAGAGTCGTATATAATGTGTCTAGACCCAGAAACGAAAAATCTAGTGCCAACTCTTCATTAATGAAAGAAAAACAAAATAATAGGTGAAGAAAAGCAAAGGCATCCAGGATATTGTGACAGCTGATTGATTAGAATATGTTCGTTTTGCTCCAAGGCTGAACTAGGACGTAATATCTGCGCTGGTTAGACATAAGTTTTGTTAATACTCATCAAGCTGTGCAATGTAAACCCTACTTTTCGGTATCTCAAACCAGATATCTTACTAGCCGTCTTCAGTGCGTTAAGGCACACTCAAGACAACTAACACACCTATTGAATGTTCTTTCTTTATACGAAAGCTTGAGAAATGTTCACCTGACTCCTACTTTGCAACAGAAATCCATTTCTAAAAGACAAGGAACAGCATAGCATAGCATTAACAGAGAAACAACTAAGATAGCACCTTTCCTTTCTAATGAAACTGGAATATTGCAACACTTTTGAGCTATGTGAAATTGTGTATAAGGAGAAGCGCACAAATTATATTGCAGGGAATATTGAACTACAGCCTTCTTTTCACGCAATTTACTCATCCAAAGACTTTGAAATCAAATCGTAGGATAATTTGCTTGCCTGCTGAGCCTGAACGTTTTGGATCTTGATTAAGCAGGATCAATTCACACCACTGATAACACCCAGGAATAAAGATTAGCACTTCGTAAAAGTCAGCCAGTGCCCTACTACTTTACCTCCTGTCGTGCCGATGAATACTCTTAAAACTTAAAAAAAACCACTTGACGCTCACTGTCACGAATGAACATTTTAGCCCCCCCGACAATGTAATTGTGGTCTATTATGGGGTTAAATGGCGTAGACAGGGACTAAGTAGAGGTAATGTTCCTCAGACTGATAGAAATTATATTAATATGTTTAGAGTCAAATGTCTATGACGTTCAAATTGTAATGGGTGTTAAGCTATGTAGTTGCAGAGCGATGAAGGAGTCATAATTACCCGAATTACGCCGTTGACACTTATTCTGTAAGGAAAAAAGGTGTGATCTGTGTAATTGTAACTTTCGTGTAAGTACTGATGCCGATGTCAACGCCAATAAAATTAGATCTACATAAGAGATACGAGTAAATTATCTCGAAGGCAAACGTTGAAAAAGCAGAAAAACTAACATTTAACTTTTCGGACTCAGATAATTGAAAAGAAATATTTTGGGCGTAGAAAACAGGTGTTGGGCTAAATTGCTTCAACCAAAAATCACTTGCAACGTTCCTACTGTGCTAACAGGTTGGGAACCGTTAGCAGCGGAATTATCAACTCGCTGAAGGACGGAGTTCGAGTCAAAGCTTGACAGTATGCTGAACCGTGTACGTCGTATAAAGACGACAACTCAAGAGCTCCTGTTTGAATGAATTTCTTTTCCGTAAACAACGCGGGAAATGAAAAAAGAAACTGCCATGCTGAATAATTTTGTACATCTATAAATATCTCGCCTAGATTACTAACGCCTGACTTATAATAACTGGGGGCGGGGGCGGGGGGCGGAGTGTGCAGCAATGGGCTGCAATATACCAGTGACAAAAGCAAAGGTAAGTCCTATAAAGTGCATTGTATGGCGGCGTATTTAAAAAAAATCCAATAGCGTTTCCTGTTTTGAAAATTGAAAGCGATTTCATTTAGATTTCTAAAGGTTTTTATTTCCATTACAGATTTAATGACGCTCATGATAAAAACAGGAAAGCAGCACTACCCTATGTATTCTTATATGATCTTATGTAACAAACAAAAAAAGAATACCAATGTGGGAGGGAAAATAATCGGTGGCATTTTTAGTTGACTTGCTGTACGTATTTTGTGCTACATTTGGAGAATTTTTAAAAAGTGTTTTACGGCACTCACAAACTGCATAAGGTCATTTGAGCGCGCGGGACAAGCCGATCATTTTCAATTGTTAGGAAACTTTGAATTTTACCGGGGTGGCCGCCGAAGCCTACTGTTATCGGGTTTAGACCACCAAGAGATCTTTAATGTGCACAACTTGCGCACGGGACCTCCGAGATTTTTCGCCATCGTTCAAGAAGGCTAGGTATAGAATCTAGATCTTTCCTTCCAGAAGATGAGGGGTGTGGCTGAAAGACAGCAGTAAGAAGAAGCTGAGGAGTAGCAGTAGAAAACCTGCAGAAAGAGTCAGGAGCCCAGAGGAGGGGGCAAAGAAGGTGACGGGAAGGAGGCAGAATTAGAGACGAAAGCAGACAACAGAATTTTGTTGGAGAGCAGGATAGGAGGTAAAAGGAGACAATTTTAGAAAATATTTTTTTTTCATCGCTACCCGGATTCGAACCTGGGACCTTTGAATGAGAGGCAAACACCTTAACATCAAGGCTACGGGAGCAAATTTGGAGACTCTGATATGCAATATGATTCTGCTTCTATACCATAATTTGTACTCGAAAGTTTCATAATTTTAACTTTTTAAATCAGCTTGATCCCAAAAGATTACTTCTGTCCGATTCATAAATCATGTTGCATCAATGAGGGGCAACCTCTACTTTATAAAGTTTTTAAGAACTCTAGAAATATTTTCGAAGTGAAAAGATGGAAGAGCTCTCCGTTAGTTCAGTTGATGCCAAGCTGGACTTTAGAGCAAATGGCCTGGTCTAATCCCAGTCTGGATGTTCTTGAATTCAAATCGTTTTGTCGAGATTTCAAGGCTCTCAACCCATTTGGCTCAGTCCTATCGAAAACTGGCTTTAATTTCGGAGAGGCCGCCTCTTAAATAACTTAATATTCTTGATATAGTATTGTTAAACCCATAATTTAAAAAATATACTTTTCTAAAAGAATGGAGAACATTTGGCAACATTTGTTTGAAGCAGCTGCTCCCACATGACATAATTTGTTTGTTTTTGCAGATGTTTAAAACCCCACTAGACAACGTATTTATAGAGGTGCCTGCCATCCAGGCCTTGTGCTACTTTAAGCCTAAACACTAATTGATACATTCCTGGTGAGTTGCTCTTGTTCCCGGGCCAAGGAGAAACGATCTTAAAGAAGGAAAAAGGTAAGTGATAACCCGGCCCAAGTCATTCTTGTTTGTTTGTTTACTTAGTAAGAGTTTAACGATACTCGCAACTGCATAAAGTCATGTGAGCGTGCGAAACACAAGTTGATTACATTCACAACAGCTCATAGCACGGCTTGGTTTTAGTCAATGACAAGTCGTACTTGTATTTGAAACTCGACACCTCAATGAAGTCTTTTCTTTTGTTCTCTAGTATTATTTAACACTCTAACAGTCACAAAAAGGCCGCGTTAAAGGCGGAACACTACGCGACCATAAAAAACAACAGGCACGACAAATTACTACTGTGAATATTGAACAGCACGTATTTTGTGCCTATATTATGCTCATATCTGATGTTTCAGTATTGCAGTGGTCCCACTGTCTGTTCACATGCAAAAGGTCTAGTTGGTGCTCCCTGAAGATTTAGGAATACTATAATATAGTATTGTTTTTGGGGGGTTTTGCTTTCGTTTTGTTTTCGATCTGTTTTGTAAGCGTTTTGTTTTTGTCAGTCTCTTTCCCGCTACACCACAGACACTGGTTAGATTAAACAAGCTATGAAAAAAGACAGAGAATGATCGGTCAACATTAATATCACAATGAAAGTATATCAGCTTATTGATGCTCATGATGTTGTATAATTTTCTGCTGGAAGGCGGAGAAAAAGTAAAGAGAAAAATCCTAGCCCTATTCAATTTTCTTGGTGTAAGGTAAAAGGGTTTAAATAAGTAGTGAATGTTTACCCTGGTGTCTGTTCTGAACGATCAGCCAAAGATAATCGCACAGTATCAGGAAAAATATGTCTTAGTTTGTTCCACAATGTTTTCTGGTGCTGGATCAAGTGCGAGCTTAGGTCTTGTGAGAGAAGTTTGGTTTCTTTCGCTTTGATTTGATTTTTTTTCCTTTCTAATCCGGGGTGGGGATGGGGGTGTGGGGGAGAGGGGCATGTAATATAATAAACCACTGTGCCATTGAAAGGTTTGTATTATAACTTAATTTTTATTATATTTGTTCATTATGTTTTCTCTCTTTAAGAAAAAGTGATATAAGATATCTAATGTATTTTTGTTATCATCTTTTTGAATGAACACAAAGTGTGAGGCCAATAACAGACATAGTTTGTAAAGTTTAAGGCCTCAAAGGAAAAATATTGTTGTATTATTATTTTTTAACATAATTGTTAGAGCTATTCAAAATTTAGTATGTTTACTTCCGCACCCAGCAAAACACGATCCACTTTACTCTTCTTTTTCTACAGTGCTCAGGGAAAAAATAAAACGTTTCATTTTGAGTACTCACGCATAATTTAACCAAGCAAATGAACACGTTTATTCTTATTCGTAAACAAAACGTTCAGCATTTTCGACAGCCGCTTTTAGGAGCACAGAAAAGTTGTCACAAGGCGGAAAAAGAGGTTTTCCAACGCTCACAGCATAGAAACATCACGAGGAGCAAGTGGCTATCTACTCACCCCCACGTGACTCGTGTCCACATGACCTCAGAATGTCAAGTCTGTCTTATTAGTTGGCCCTCATGAGCTCCACATCATCTCCACTTTCGCTCCTCACCTCGGCTGTCAAAGCTTTCGTTTTGTCCATATCCATAAAGAAACCCAGCACTGAAACTAAAATGGCTAACCATTCCCGCAGCAGTCTTAACAGAAGTGGAATGGGGGCAAACTCTGAAGCCGTTGGGGTTGAATACTTTTGGAGTAAGTATAATACGTATACTTTAAGTTACCTCTGATGTTCCCATTATTCAAAGTTCTCGCTTGCATGAACGTGTACATTACACACTGTGTAGATTGTCGGTAATGCCGTAAAAGATCTACTCAGTCATGAAACCCCTGAAAACTAGACAAACTAAACTTCAAATGTTATGCATCGTATGTGTGTGAAACTTGGAGCGTATGCCTATTTAGCCAACTTTTTTTTACTCTGTTCGCTTTGTACATGTGGAATTTCAAGGCCCCAATGAAAAAATCATAGATCTAATCTAGAACTAGATCTAGACCTAGATCATCTTATTGTTTAAAGCATTTTTGTTAGAGCTAGATCTATATTTTGTTACAATGTCGTCTCTTTATCCAAACCAAAATTCCCCAACCCCTGCCACTGTGCTTAACGTAGTCATCTTAAAATTATATTTTTTTTGGTAGTTTATCTCAGGCTGGTAGAATTTGACCACCATCCCACCCCCCAACGGTTGTCATATCTGCAACAACAAAAAAGATAATTTCGTGGATTGGGATTTTCCCCTCTTGTTTCGCAGAGGACCGGCACTTACCGTGACAAGGTCCGCTGAACTATATGTATACAAGGGTTAGGGTTAGGGTTTGGGATAGGGTTAGGGTATACCCCACATAAAATATCCTCTTTTGTGTGTTATTGGTCGGTAGGCCCTCTTCGGAACTCCTTCCCAAAATTGCTTTGCACGATTCTGCTCAGTGTACTTGTCTTGGTATGCATTTACTCCTTGTCCAACGATTAAGGGGGATGATTGGTTGGCGCCCTGGTGTGGATTACTCCTTTTCATTCAAACGACTATCGTCCTTCTGTCCTTTTCCTTGTACTAATCTTCGGCGCTTATATGACCCATTTGTTGCAAATATCGTAACTTTCAGTTTAACTAAACGTCTCCAATATAAAGTTTAGTAGTGCCTTCAATTTTGAATGAACCACTTTTCCAGCCCAGCGTGCATTGTGTATAAACTGTTTTCTCCAGCTGTTGAACTTAACGCTGACAACCGCTCGCACATTTGGACTGCGAAGGACGATGAGCTGGAAGATGATGATGAAGACTTTGTCAACCACACTCTCTTCCTCAAACTGGTAGGCTGTTTTGCGTTTTAATGGCATAGGCCACACTCCTAATCTGAAGAGGATATAGTACCGTCTCTGAAAGCCGAAATGTAATAGTACCCAGTGCTGTGTAGGTATCCATTTAGTGTCCAGGTTTCCTGCTCTTGCTTAGCCTGACGCTTTGAATGTTTTGTTTATGCTGCGTGCTTAGCTGGTATCATACTGGACTAAGATGGGAATGACCCTGGTTCGAGCGCCTAGTCAACGATTTTTTAAAAGCTAAGCGTTAAGAGGTGTTAAAACAAAATATGCTGTGTGCCTTTAAGGCAACACGTGCATCACTTAAATGGTATCTGTGTCAACGAAATGCACAGTGCTGGAAACGACAAGAATGGGGATTGCAATCTAACTACTGCACATGAACAGGAGCAGCCAGTTTTAATGGTGACGTATATTCAAAATGACACATGACTATTTCACTTCGCAACAACCCCTTTACCTATTTTAAAATTACTGGGCTAATATCAGCTTTCGAAATGACTTTGGTAGAGCTTTGCAGTTAGTGATGCCGAAAAGAAACCCCATTTTACAAGTGTTCCTTCCCACGCTCTCCAGGCTGTTCTGGGTGATGGCGCAGTGCCCGGCGAGCCGAACATCGTGACCCTTGAGTCTATGGACGCAAGCAGTTCGGTGCAGAAGGGCGCCATCGTCAATCTGACCTGTGGGAACAACAATATGGTAAGGTTTTACGTCATCCTATTGCCTTGGACAGTTCAACAAACCTAGCTGCTGCAATACAGAAGACTATTATAATCTACCAAACAGAAGTTTGAGGACTGAATACAAGTGGGGACAATGGAAACCAGAATACAAGGAGGTGGGGGGGGGGGGCAGCGATTTATCATTCCCAGTTTTTTTTCTCAGCCTGCTTTCTTGAAGGGAACGGTTTCTATCTATTAGGGCGGTAGGAAAAGAAAACCTGCCCCACCTTCAGAAGTACCATAGGGAGCACCTCCGAACTCAATGCTTTCTTGTAACTCCACTTATTAAACAATGAAAATGTGACTTCTTCTTAAGCTCACCCTTTGTTATGAACTATTTTCACTGTTATTAAAAATGGAGATACAAGAAATCACTGAGGTCATGCCCTTGTCTTCCACAAACGTAGTTTGCAAATCATTTCTGTACCTCATCATTTCGATATAATAACCCTGGCCATACAGCATTGTACTATTTAAAGTTATTAAAAGGTGGTGTGCCTGTGTATGCAAATTGGTTTACCCAATTCACTGGTAAAATCTCGTTCATTTTAAGGCATAGATGTGTAGTGAATGGGCAGATGAAGGTATTTGAGTATGTTGCTGGAATTCTTACACAGTTGATCCTGCCGACGTCTATGTAGACAGTTTGGTTAGAATATTCGCTAAGGAAAGCTAGACTCATGTGGTATATCCATGCAGCAGTCCTTATTTTACGGAGTACATCCATTATATAAGCTGGAATGTGTATTCCACGTAGCCTAGTCCCAAAGGTGGTTTTGATAGGTACAATCAGCTGTGGGTATTCTGAAGATCTTGTGTAATGACTGAGAACAATTTATCAGACAAAACATTAAACCATGAACATTAAACCGGCTTCTGTGGTGTAGCGGTTAGGTTATAAGATGCTTCGATGTCGCACGCAGGAAACTAGGGTTCCATTTCGGAGTAGGGAGACATTTTTATCAAGTAGGTCTTTTTGCTTGGAATTTTTTTATCCTTCAGTTCGAGTTGGCCCTAACAGGCAGGGGTGGACGCCCGTCTGCTAAATTATCTAAACTATTGGGGACGTACAGTTACCTACATTAAAATAAACACTAAAATAAAAATGTCAATGTGATATATTAACTTTATTTGTAAACATACGGGCGTAGCACGACTGGTCTTTTTATGTATGTTAAAACATTTCACACACTTTAAAACTTCTTAGTGATACAAAAGATTGAACCTTCTGATTTGCTTCTGATTTGACTGTACACTGTATCTTCAGGGCCATATGGATCTTGCTCTGAGCGGGAAAGTTGGAGGGACCTTCAACCTAGTATCTGGAAGTGGACCCGTGCATCTATCCGGGAACTATCTTATGGGTAAGAGGTGCTTTCATCTGTCTTAGATGCACCTTATGCAATCATTTCAAGGCGAAATTTAGGTTGTTCTTAGGACCTGAGGTGGTATGGTGTGGTTAGCTCCTCTGTATTGCCATCTGTACCGGGTGAAAACTGACTGTTCTTTTCACGATTGCTCGGAGACTACAGCTCAACAATCAACAGTCAGTAAACAGTTGATGGTCCCATAGCTTATTATTGTACCTGACATTCACTTTGCTTAGCTCTCAGAAAGGGGGGGGGTGTTGTTGATGGGTAATAGTACTGAACAATCTGATGTTTCCAGCAGATCTTTTAATCTTTCCTCCATCCCCACCCCCTTTTCAGAACGATGTCAATGTTCTGACTCCCCACTTTACCTTAATCAATACTAAAGATGTGCCCCGTATAATGGTTATTACTCTCCCAACGTTTCTGGGCCTGGTTTAAGGCGTTTTGGAGTGGTCTGCAGTTTCTCATTTACCCCAAAGTTACAGTTGTGCCAAATCGATTCCAGATGAAATGCAGCCAGTATCATGCTCCCGTACCGTAACTTACTAACTGCACTTAACCCAAGAGCTGTCAGTGCTTGTCCCTGTGCTGCCCGGGGGGGGGGGTCCTACTGCTCAGAAAAGGCTTCAAACAATACTAGGGAGTGGCATGAAACCTATAATCATACCTTTTCAGGATATTTTTTGAGCTAAGGTGTGAGCATTCTTTTAAATATTTTTTTAAGACCTTGACCGCTGGTGACGTTTTATCATTGAAAACGTATACTCAAAAGGCGCAAATAACATGTTTTAAACTAATTGCTTTACTTTTTAGTGAAGCGTATTCATTCATCGTTCAGCTTATATATAGTTTTATGGTATTCGGCAATACTTTATCGTCACATTTGTTTTTACCTGATACAGGGTTTTCTCTTACTTGGATATTCTTGCCCTACCGTAAAGTGTCACTTTAGATCAGTTTATATGGTTGCCGAAACTGTTTTTGGTCTAGTAAACATAGTTGTCTGAAAGTAGATTGAATGAGCTATGAATAAAATGTGATTTTGGTATTTGAACCGTGAAATGACTTTGACCTTGGCCTTTCATGACCTTTTAATATCTTTTTTATTAAAAACTGTAACATGAGGCACGAGAAGAGTGAGTCGATAGTGCAGTAAATCACTTAATTAATCATCAAAAGCACGAAAAGCCGCAGTTTTTTTTTTGGAGGGGAGGAGGGGGGGGGGGGATTATTCTAAAGTGAATGGTCTGTCAGAAAATGAAACTTATTTTGCTTTGAAATCATAAACCATGGTACTTTTGGGACGTGGGTCTAGCTGTTTTGTAAACAAAAATATTGGCGTCACATCAAGATTTTGTGCGTCTTCAAACAGCGAAATGTAACCTAAAACGGTTGAAAATAGAAGACGACCTAATTCTGGATATAATAGAACAGTTCCATACATTGGTGTGAACGAGTGTGGTGTCAGATTACAAAAAACAAAAACAAAACAGAAATAAAACAGAAACAAAACCGGCGGATTATAACGCCGTAACAGCGCAACGGCGGAAAACCGACGACTGTTGTGCCATTAGTCTGTTACTTGTTAACTGTTTATATTCCGACTTACATTAACTCTGTAACTGAAAGTGTCTAGTGTTTGTAACTTTGCGGGTGCATAACGTTTCTCGTGACTGTTTAAAACTGTTTACCCCAGCTAAGAAAATTGTGCGAATGTTACTTTTTCAGAATATCCCAAATTGGAAAATCTGGACAACACACAGACCGAAAGTGACGAGTCCGAGGAGCTTGAGGCAGATGATAGAAATGGTCGGGATGAGGATGACGAGGATGAGCAGGAGGAAGTGGCTGTTGTGAAAGGAAGGAAGCCACCAAAACGTAAAGGAACACCAAAATCAAATAAGCTGAAGGTAATTTTTCTTTTCAAAACGAACCCATGTAATCATACATTTTTTCAACTTTAAGAAATACGAAATGTTTCTTAAAGTGGAAAGTCGTAAGGTCCATATCAGACATCACAATTTTTAAATGTTTTAAACTCCGACAGCACTGACTTGATGATTTAGATAATAAAATGTTTCCGGTATTATGTTTCTCTTGCATACCTTGCCGATCACACTTTTTACCTGAAAGATTTATGTTAACATTTTCAAGCTTTTAGGTGACATAAAAGTAACTTCAATTACACTTTCTTTGTTTTTCTTAAATTTAGCAGAAAGCAAAGATGGATGTGGATGACGATGAAGATGATGAAGAGGATGATGATGATGAAGACGAAGACGACTTTGATGACGAAGATGAGGTAAACATTGTATCGTGTACGCTTGTTGTGTAGCTTTTAAGTTCTTACAGATGGAGTTGGAGGCTATTTACACAGTAGAATATTTTTTAAAATAATATTAGCTACTTCGTGACATGGTTTTCTTCATTGGGGAGAAAGGCTTAGTTAGAAGAACTAGGGTGGGGGTGGAAGAAGAAAATATGGGCTTTTCCCATAATGGTACAAACATTTACTATATAGGATTTGACGTGAAAGACCTTTCGTGTTTTTTTTCAACAGATCGAACATTTCGGTTGAATTCTCTGTAATCATAAAAATTCGATTTGACCAACTTGACTACCCTGTCTTCCTTTCCTTTTCTTTGTATGTTACTCGTTTGTAACGCCTGATCTTTGGCACGTATATTACGTAATTGTATTGCAAGTGCCGTGAAACTCAAACTAAACCTAAAATCAAACTAAACAAAAAGAGAGCTCCGAAATCAGAGCCAAGAATAAAACAGCTCATTTGAGATGAAAGCTAAGAAGGAAATTACGAAACAAAGCACAACTACGTAGCGACATGTCCTTTGGTACCTTTTATTCGAATACTGTTTCTCTAGAAACCCTCAGAAACTGACTTGGGCAACTAAATGACGCTGTCGTTGTGTAACAACTTGGAACAGCATGCCCGTGAACGTGATATGGATTTGAGTACTCGTTATTTTAAGTTGAATGAGTTGAATCTTACAAAGTTTATACGTTTTGGAAGTCCACTAACGTTATGATGATTACCCCTAAGCAATTATTATACCATTACGCTTGTTCTCCGAATACGTGTTACAACTTTGGAAGATAATTATTTGATGGTCTTGAGTAATTTGCTTCAGCTCGCTTTGACTTGTGTTTTACTCTAGTTTTTTAAAATAATTTGTATTTTTTTTATCTTATTGATTGAACCCGTCTGTTTTACAGGACGAGGACTCTGAAGAAAAATCTTCGTGAGTACATTTTCATCATAAAAATACATTCTAGATTTCCTTGTTAGTGTATTACAATTTCTAACTGAACATTTCAGCGAGTTTTTTCATAAGAGATTAATTTTTAAAATGTTCAAGTACCGACAGACAATTTGACAAACACATCTATATTATAGCAGAAACTTTAAAAATGTACATTTCTCTCTGTCTCCGTCTTTGTTTCTCCCTCTCTCTCTCTGTGTCTCTCTCTCTCTGTCTCTCTCATTCTCTCTCTGTCTCTCTCTGTCTCTCTCTGTCTCTCTCTGTCTCTCTCTGTCTCTC